AGGTTTGCGTGTCATTCAAATAGAGCTATCATTTCATCTCATCGTATAAACACTACATTCAATTCATTTCAATTATACGCTTATTATTCACTACCAAAAGAAAACTTTTGTTTTTGTATTTTGAATATTTTTATTTTGATTAATTTTCCTGATTTTCTTATTAACTTATTTAACTTATAATGGATTGCATTGAATGACATCAATGTTTTCTTAATTTATTGATATACTGTATCATCAAATGTGTACATAGAGTACACAACAAGCAAATTGACTTTTTATATGAATTACAAGAATATTAATAAAGAAAATAATTTTTTTTGTTTAAATTGATTTAACACTAAAACAGTAAAAGAGAAATTCAATGAAATGGAGATTAAAATAATGAGCGATAATAATAAGAGTGACTTGAAATCAAAAGAGCCTATAATTTATTTCTCTGCAATCAATTTGCAATCAATTATAATAAAATTGTTTTGAAAATTAATTTTTATCAGACATTTGATCCGAGAAAAAACAGTCTGTCTATTGGTTTACAATTATCTCATTGTTTTTAATGACTTAGCGTTGGAGTGAATACTTAGGCTTTTGGTTCACATTTTGATTAATAAGCTCTTCTAATGGAGTCATAAATTGAATACTAAAATATTAAACAACAAAATAATTAGTTTATCATTTGATCCGCGTATATATGATATGTCCCTCTAATTTGGTTTATTTCTCTCATTCGCTCTATAAATCAAATGCAATTAACTTTTGGTCTTTCGTTAAAACATATAACTCTAAACACAACGGCCTTAAAGTTGTCTGTATTGTGGGGTTTAAGTAGAAATTAATGCGAAATTGGCGTCTATTGTAAGCAAAATATCAATCTTTGAGTTGTTATTGAAAGCTGCAAATGAGGTGAGAAAGTATGAGAAGGTTAGGTTAGGTTTGCTCACAAATTCAAGCATTAATTCTGGATTCTGTTTGTTTAGAATTTGCAAAATGTTATGCTTTGGAGTGTATGTGAGCACTGGTAGGCCTGGCAGGGCTGGCATTTGTCAATCTCACTACTCGTTTATTAATTTTACACAAACACTACCTTTAGTTAGTTTTTGTTGGCTTTGGATGATGTGCATAATGACGATAATAAGTTGATAGTAATATTGCCTTAAGTTAACAAAATTAGGTTTTGTTTCAGAGTCCGGGCCAACACTACAACAATTTGTTTGTCACTAGATTTGAGTGCATTCTTCACGCAATGCATTGCAGTATAAGCTATGATATAATGATAAACCAAATGATAACAGATATTGTAATAATAGAGTAATATTTGGGAGAAACAAAAAACTAGAAATTATATCAATAGTAGAGAGAAATGTAGGGAAATGTGTGGTTCGCCACCCAATGCGACGTTGCGGTGGTTTCTACCTCACCATTGGCTAACAATCCAGCATTTGGTGACTTTTAACACAATATATTCAGTAGTTTAATGTCTAATACAATCTCCCTTTCCCTGAGTGTGTGTTTCGATCATTCATTCTGACAGCCGGTGTTTAGTCAACAAATGATAGTATAGTGTCGTTTATTTGAGAAGGAAATGAAATAAAAAATATATACCATTAAACATAATATGATTTGAAATATTGACCAATAAGTAAATCGAGACTCAAAACAGACAAAAAATCAATTCGTCAACACTATTGTGTGAACGATAAATGTTACAAAACTTTTTTTTCTAGTTTTTCCCCATTTTTTGTTTCACTCGTTTGATGATATCTGACAGAAACAGGCACTCGAAACCAAATTTATATAATTATCAAATTAGTGGCAAAAAATTCACTCAAATTCTTCATGTTATGCCTAAAAATCAGATAAAAGTTGGAAAGCATTTTTCAAAATTCAATTATAAACTAATCTGAATTAATTTCGACTAAAAACCCAAAACATAGTATTGTATTTGATTACTTTAGATCTCATATAATAGTAATTTTAATTACACAATGAATAGAAAATAAACTTTAGTTTTATAAAAAATTTATTGAGTGCTTAAAGATATGATAATGTCCATATTCATTTACTAATTTAATTACCGAAACAGATTTATATCACTAATTTTCAGTTTTATTCAAATAATCATTAAGTGTTTAATTATTTAAAATTTCGAAAAATCTAGTTAATAGTAAATAAATTGAAATGGCATAGTATGATATGAGAAAAACAAGCAATAATTGGTGTTAAGTTGAAAGACTGGTCTAACCCTATATTAGAGGCATTGAAAGAGTGGATCCATTGAAGAATTGGTGCAAATGTAGTGAATATGTAGTGAATATGTATTTGGTTTAAACGAAGTCTTATTATCGACTCATTGGAAGTGACGGCTTGAAGACAGTGTTGTTATCAATAATTATTGGAAGTTTAGGAACGAAACAAAAATAATTAATGTGTTACTTATCTTTTATTTGAAATCAAAATATTTTTTAAATAACTCACGAATTTCTATACTATTACAGGTATAAGTAAATGATTAAATTAATGGCTTTGTCTAAATATAGTGATTAAAAGACTTTTATTCAAATAATCATTAAGTGTTTAATTATTTAAAATTTCGAAAAATCAAGTTAATAGTAAATAAATTGAAATGGCATCGTATGAGAAAAACAAGCAATAATTGGTGTTAAGTTGAAAGACTGGTCTAACCCTATATTAGACGCATTGAAAGAGTGGATCCATTGAAGAATTGGTGCAAATGTAGTGAATATGTAGTGAATATGTAGTGAATATGTAGTGAATATGTAGTGAATATGTAGTGAATATGTATTTGGTTTAAACGAAGTCTTATTATCGACTCATTGGAAGTGACGGCTTGAAGACAGTGTTGTTATCAATAATTATTGGAAGTTTAGGAACGAAACAAAAANGTGTTTAGTCAACAAATGATAGTATAGTGTCGTTTATTTGAGAAGGAAATGAAATAAAAAATATATACCATTAAACATAATATGATTTGAAATATTGACCAATAAGTAAATCGAGACTCAAAACAGACAAAAAATCAATTCGTCAACACTATTGTGTGAACGATAAATGTTACAAAACTTTTTTTTCTAGTTTTTCCCCATTTTTTGTTCACTCGTTTGATGATATCTGACAGAAACAGGCACTCGAAACCAAATTTATATAATTATCAAATTAGTTGCAAAAAATTTACTCAAATTCTTCATGTTATGCCTAAAAATCAGATAAAAGTTGGAAAGCATTTTTCAAAATTCAATTATAAACTAATCTGAATTAATTTCGACTAAAAACCCAAAACATAGTACTGTATTTGATTACTTTAGATCTCATATAATATTAATTAATTAATGTGTTACTTATCTTTTATTTGAAATCAAAATATTTTTTAAATAACTCACGAATTTCTATACTATTACAGGTATAAGTAAATGATTAAATTAATGGCTTTGTCTAAATATAGTGATTAAAAGACTTTTATTCAAATAATCATTAAGTGTTTAATTATTTAAAATTTCGAAAAATCAAGTTAATAGTAAATAAATTGAAATGGCATCGTATGAGAAAAACAAGCAATAATTGGTGTTAAGTTGAAAGACTGGTCTAACCCTATATTAGACGCATTGAAAGAGTGGATCCATTGAAGAATTGGTGCAAATGTAGTGAATATGTAGTGAATATGTAGTGAATATGTAGTGAATATGTAGTGAATATGTAGTGAATATGTATTTGGTTTAAACGAAGTCTTATTATCGACTCATTGGAAGTGACGGCTTGAAGACAGTGTTGTTATCAATAATTATTGGAAGTTTAGGAACGAAACAAAAAACTATAACTATTTATGACATGAGATGTGTGTGAGAGGGCGGGCGGGACGGGACGGGCGGCCATATATTTACTACGAAACCGAGAGACAAGCAAAAGAAGTGGTTCTTAAAAAATAGTTTCGTATATAATATAATAGATAAGAAAATTTATAAAACATTGAAACACTAGGCGTTTGATTGCTGATACCCTGGGGCTAAATACATGGTTCAGGTGTAACTAATTGCGAGCGCCGGCACCGTTTGTTGTGGCAAAATGTGGCAGCGATTGCACTTCATCTCATTGAATCTCATTGAGCCAATTGCCACAGTATTGTCAGATATGACAAAATGACGACCACTTTGAACGTACACTTCAATACATCCATGGGTGGCGTCTATTTAATTCATCCCTTACTCCAGTTATAGTGTATTACAAATTTGTAGATCTCTTTTCAAATGAATGCAATCATTATTATTGTATGTAGAAACCGAATACAAAACTTATAATTTCAATACTCGTGTTGCCATTGATTCTCTGGAAATCAATTTTACTATTTGTCAACATTTTTGAAATGCAAAATATTTGCTCGCAAAACTATTTTCTAATTAGTAGCCAATCAATCAACGAGTTTTTTCTAGACAAATAAACAGCTATTGATTTGCATATAATTTGTTAAATGGGCTCAAATTTCAACATTAATGCGAAAGCCATTCAAATAAAATATAATTATTTAATTAAAGCCCAAATGCTATGCTTTTTATATCTCGCGTTTTATTTGCCTATCATTACATGCAAACAGTTATATAATATGTAAGAGTTTTCCTAAATGAAGACTCAAATTATATAAATGTTTGTCTGATTTATAATTTTGATTAATTATAATTATATACAGAACGCAAACATTTAAATAAAGTTAATTCAAAGATATGTGAATACAAGCGATACAAGTGTCGGTTTATTTCATTTAATGATTTATAAACGTCGATGAGTTTCAAAAGAAATTATTGTTTGTCCTTAAACTTAATTTATGGTAATTATTCATTGAAATTTCAGATCACTTGTTATTAATTTATGTTAACAAGGATTGTAAGCATTTGCTAAACTCTCATAGCATTTAAAGCACTTATATTTCTCTTTGAAAGCAATTTTCATATAAATTATTCCGTATCTCAAGACATGACTTCAGGCAAACCATTCACATGTTTCGTAGTTTGATATTTGATAGCAAGTCAATTGATTTAATCGATTTATTTATTATGAATTTCTTTTTTGTAAACACATTAAATATAGTATTTGAATAAATTTCTATTTAAGTAATTATGCCATTAATACACTAATATACTGTAAATCTATTATTATTTATTTTAAATAATTCTAAATTTTGTCATTTTATTACATTTGAAAAAATTTAATTTAACCAAATTAATTATAGTTCAATATATAAAAGCAATCAATTTATTGGATGACTTTATAAACTCCATAAGAAATGTTTTTGTGAGCAATTTAAATTCATTGAACTGTAGTTTTATAATAAGACAGACATTAAAAGACATATAATTGGTTTGAAAAATATCTAATTATTCTAATTATGAAATATTTTTATCATTTTTCAGACACTTCTGCGGATCACTTGAATCTGTTTAGCAATAGAGCCAATCAGTCGAAGAAGAAACGCAAGTCGAGGACAGCCTTCACTAATCACCAGATCTTTGAATTAGAGAAACGATTTTTGTATCAAAAGTATTTATCGCCGGCCGATAGGGACGAAATCGCACAGACATTAGGCCTCACTAATGCCCAAGTGATCACCTGGTGAGGCACCTCCACCTTTCCATTACACACCTTTCCATTACACACCATTGCATGCAAATCATCGATAATATGTTCATTACTATTGGTATTGGAAACTAAAACATGTATTCATTTGTCGTTTTCATAGGTTTCAGAACCGAAGGGCGAAACTGAAGAGAGATATGGAGGAGTTGAAGAAGGATGTGGACGCCGCTAAACTCATACCTGTCCACAAAAGCCTACTTGAGATCCAAGACCTGAGTCTAATGAAGAAAGCAGATTTGGCTGCAGTCCTACACCAACACCAACAACACAATAAGTCTCTCAACTAAATATAGTACTATTTGTTTTGAAATATAAATTGAAATTTGTTTGAATTATTTGAGCAAAACCTGATATAATAGTATGAAAAGTGACAAAACAAACCATTTTCACTGCAATATCACTAAACGTTCCTAATTTATATTGTTATATACGGTAGACAACTATGTTTTGCTCACTATATTTATATGTGAAACAGAAAATTTGTATGAATTATTTAGGATGAAAATCTATTATTTATAGTTCGTGTGAAGTACATTACATAGAGGTATGAAATCTATGGAAACCGTTTAATTTCATTCCAATCAACAATCACATTTGCAATTATCATTGCATTTATTCAAACAATTTCTCAATTTTTGAAACCAAATTCGCTGTAAATTTAGTGACAATATTGGCGAAAAACAAGTCGTCGTTTCGCTTCAGTTTTTCTTAATATTTGAATGCATTTCAATGTTTTGAATCACTTCTGATACCGTTGTATATATTATACATAAAACATAAAAGTAATCACAATTAATATTTTGTACATAATTTTGCTGAAAGAGTATTCATTTTATGAATAAATAATAAGAATAATGAATCATTTTAATGAGCATTCATTACATGATTAACAAAAAAGATTAACTCAGACTATATTCAATTCAATTATTGCTTTCGCATAACAAACACACATCACATTAGAGATCAAATGCAAATTATTATTATAATCACTGATTATATAAATATACTTTCACTTTATATTCAGACAAAACATTTAGACAAAAAATAAAAGTACTGTACAAATTTTACTAAAATATTATACGGTATAATTTATACCATTCAGCAAAAAATATTTAACTGATTTTAGCTCTAACTGTAATGTCGACAACGTTTTTACATTGAATTTGAAAATATAGTCTTACTGAAAATATAGTGAAAACTAAGTTATTTAAAAACTCGCAACTCTTTTATGAATTGTTGTTCAAAATTTCAATTTATATTTCCAAATATCTGTAATTGTTTATATTGTATGTAAGGATTCATGTATAGTTTAAAGCATATCACAAAATAGTAAAACATAAGTACGTCTGAAGTTTAATTATTGTATCTTATTATCCAATGTATACCTGAATTAATTCTCGATGGACTCACAATATGGCAAAACACCAAAAATATTTATACTGTACTTATACTATGTTATCATATAATTTAATGTAAGTTAAATTTATAGAAGTAGTGATTAATTTGAATGTTTTTCTGCAAAATATGTCAAAAATATATATAAATATTCATTACGAATGTTATTCCCTTTACCACTGACTGTATAATAAAAATTTAGTAAAATTAACTTGAATTCAAATATTCAATTATGTGTTAAAAATTTATTTTTATTCCTAACATAGGATTTCTATAGAAACCTAAATATTTATTAATTTAAATCAATTTAATGAGTGACAATGATAATATTCAAATCAAGAATGTGTTGGTAAGTAAAAACTTTGTTGGTAAACAAAAAATATGTAAACAAAATTTAAACAATTTAAGTAGTTTAAAAATAAAAGTATGGCTAGTTTAAATATTGATATTTAAAACATAAATAAAAGCTAACTAAATATGAAACTAAAAATAATATGTCATATATTGAATTAGAGTCTGTAGTAAATTACAGTAAACAATAAATTGTGTTGTTTTCTAATGAAATTTATTTTTTAAACAAAGACAATAACGATATACCGCTTGTGTTATAATTTAAGCTTAGACTCAAAGTTATGTTGTTTTTTGAAGACAGACTTAACTTATCATTTGTTCACTACATATGAGTGGAACCAAAGATCGTAAAGAAATAGTGAATTAATTCAATGAGATATTGCGGAGACTTAGAGAATGGGTCTTATATTGATAGTAATTAAAGTTATGTGGACTCAGGTCTATAGTAAAGGTGTTGTGAGCTGAGGGCTAATTCACAAACTTATTGCTTACAAAGAGATGCCGCAAACTCACTGCTCATCCTATTGTGCCGTTCATTCAGTTTAGGGGTCAACACATATAAATGCTTTTACAATATTCATCATCATTTAAGTACTATTTAGAAATGCACTTCACTTTCCCTTTAATTTATTTTCATATAAAATGTTTTATCGTTTTTTTGTGAGGAATTCAATTGAAAAGAATTGCAATTTTATTGTATTATTCTTTTGAAGTAAATTAAATAATTGGAAAATATTTTCCAATATTTGTAGTCAACAATATTCGGTCAAATATTAATACAAAAGTATTTATCCATTGGTTTACTATAAGGAATTTCATCAAAAATATTATAAAACTGTGTCTAATCTTAAGACTGTTGACTAAATCGACTAATTAGTTAATTAGTGATAAAATTAGATAACTATTTACGTCACCTATAGACTGGCTCAATTAATAAAACGTTTGCAATAAACAACATTTTAATCATTTTTTCTATCGCATGATTTATTAATTAAAAGATAATTAAATTCTTTGATAAACTCTATTCACTATTATTACTGCATTTTATATTCACTTCATTTGTTTGACACACAAAACAGAATTATTATTTTAATTGATTTCTTTTCATTGGCTATCGTTTTAATGTATTTCCTTCTGTTCGCTGATATAAATCCTATAAATAATTATTTTGATATAAAAAGTTATCTAATTAGAGTATGTAATTAGATTAGAATTAAACATATTACAAAAATTATAAAATTATTTTAGATAATTTAAATTCTATATTAAATATAACCTCGCTTATTTATACTTTTATATAAATTGTATGAGAATGATTTTAAACTATATTTTGTTACAAAATCATGTAAAGAATTTCTATGAAATACAATATACAACTATTCTCTATCATTCATATAGTGAATACATTATATTTTAAAACTATATCAGAATTATTGCTACAATTTTATAATTTGGCAAATTATCAAATTAAATATTTAAATAAAAATAAATAAAACCCAAAACCCATTGACCACCAATTAGATTTAAATTATATTGTGCCTGACTACCGTATAATAGTAAGTATATTGTTTTATGGTTGTTTAAATAAATATTTAACAAACAAATAAACACTTCCTCTTGAGTGCAATTTCAAAACCAATATTTGGAAAGTGATTTGACCAGACATTGGAGGCAATGGATAAGCAGTTAATGGGCTAATATATGGTGAATCTAATCTATTAGATAATTGAAACGTCATTTTTCTGTAATACTCTAATACCCGAGCCCTAAAGCGCTCAGTTAGAGAGAGAGAGAGAGAGAGAGAGAGAGAGAGAG